TACATTCTTCACGGGTGTTATTGTTGACTGTATAGATAGGCCTGTTTGTTGTTTAGCTAAAAGTCGATCTAAGGTCCATAGTTTGAAGAGTATCTAAGATCCATAGGCTCAGACTCGACCAGGTTAGTAAGCCTGGTCATTTTTATTATTTTGTATTTTGATATACCTTTTTCTCCCACTCTGTCCAGGACCTTCTGTTGTGATCCTGGTCAAAGCAGTTGATAGTGGTATCCAAGCATCATCTAGTTCTTCTCTCTCATGTAGTCTTTAAGCATGGCACCTGGACTCCATTTACCTATGTATTCATTCATAAATTAATTGTTTGTTATTACTGTTATTAGAAGGTTTTATATGTAATTGCAGTGCAGTGAATTACTTCGTGTGGCTCTTCTATTCATACATAGTCTTTGTAACTCTCACCAAACAAACTGTTTTTCCTAATGAGTATGGGTATGAGGAGGTGGGAGAAGATGCTAATAGAATTTTATGATTCAGTTGTGAACGACTATTAAAAGGGTTAATTGTGATTGTAAAAACTTGGAACCCTAACGTGGGTATAAAATGAGCCATCTCAGAAACAGGAATGGGGGATTGCATTACCATCAAGGTAGAAGAGCCAGGAGTGGAGCACATCCTTTGGACCCTGAAATCCGTGTGCATTGAGCCTCCTCGATGCAGGGACAGAACGCTGTGACACAAGAGAAGCAACAGAGGAACAACAAACAGCAGCAGAACCAAGAGCCAGGGCACAAGACAGAGCGGTGGACTTTCAGCCCAGTGAACAAGTAAAACTGAGTACCTTCAGGCAGGAAGATCACTTCTGAAGTGGGGTGCCTCCATGCACTTAATTGGAGGAACTAGGTTTGCTGGCCCATGGAGCTTGAGCCAGGTACCTTTGGGCTGAGGCCTACAGCAAATTGGAGTACCCTTTGAGTATTTATTAGCAGTGCTTGAGGAGCTTTGTAACATAGCCTGAGCAGGGCAGAAGCCAAGGGGCTAGAGAGAGGCCTGCCTGTGGGCACAGCTGAGACGAGGCTGTCCTGACTAGGAGAACTGGGTCCTGAGCATTTCAGACCCTGAATTGTAACCTGTTAACCTCTCAAATAAATCCCACAATTGTGAGTATAGTCTGAGTTCTGTATGCCGATTGCAGCACATTATTGAACCCAGCAGAGAAGTAGAGAGTGCTGAGGGGAGGGAGGGATGGCTAAAGTGAGAATTGGTGAAGAAGCTTGGAGGGTAGATTATCAGATGGGTCTTGCAGAAAGCAGAGAACACCAGAAAGATGTTTACTTATGCATTATTGACTATTATTATGCAATGGCATTTAACTGTGTGTATCATAAATTGTGGATAACATTGCAAATAATGGGTATTCCAGAACACTTCATTGTGCTTATGAAGAACCTATACCTAGACCAAGAAGCAATTGTTTGAACACAACAAGGGGACACTGGTGTAAAATCAGGAAAGGTGTGTGCCGGGGTTGTATTCTTTCACCATCCTTATTCAGTCTGTATGCTGAGCAAATAATCTTAGTAGCTGGACTGTATGAAGAAGAATGTGGCATCAGGATGGTGGTGAGACTCATTAACTACCTGTGATATGCAGATGATAGAACCTTGCTTGCTGAAAGTGAAGAAGACTTAAAATAATTACTGAAGAACAAAACCACAGCCTTCAGTATAAATTGCACCTCAATGTAAAGAAAACAAAAATCCTTACAGTTGAACCAATAAATAATATCATGATAAATGGAGAAAAGATAGAAGTTGTCAAAGACTGCATTTTGCTTGGATTCACAATCAACACTCATGAACGCAGCAGTCCAAGAAATCAACATTAGGGAAATCTGCTGCAAAAGACCTCATTAAAATTGAAGAGTAAAGATGTCACTTTGAGGATTAAGGTGAGCCTGACCCAAGATATACATGGTATTTTCTGTTGCCTCATAGGCATGTGAAAGTTGAACAATGAATAGGGAAGATTGTAGAAGAATCGATGCATCTGAATTATGGTAATGGTGAAGAATATTGAAAGTATGTTGGACTGCCAGAAGAACAAAGAAATCTGTTTTGGAAGAAGTAAAGTTACAATGTTCTTAGAAGTACGGATGGCAAGACTTGGTCTCTCGTACTTTGAACATATTGTCAGGAGGGACCAGTCCCTGGAGAAAGGACATCGTTGTACTTGGTAAAGTGGAGGGTCAACGAAAGAGAGGAACATCTCCAACAAGATGAATTAACAGTGGGAGCAACAATGGGCTCAAACATAACAGTTGTGAGTATGACACAGGACTGGACAATGTTTCATTCTGTTGTATATAGAGTAGCTATGAGTTGGAACCGACTCAGCGGCACCTAACAACAACTTTTGATATAAAGTTGGTGATTAGTTTTTCCATTTCATTCCATATAAATCTGAGGGTTGACTTTTCCATTTCTGCAAAGAAGACTTTTTGAATTTTGATGGGGATTGCATTGAATTTATAGATTACATTTTGAAAATACTAATTTATGACCATGAAATGCCTTTTCAATTAAGGTTGTCTTTTTATTTCCTATAGTAATGTTTTACAGTTTTCAATGTATAAAAATACAGTGACAATTTTCACTTTCCTGGCTAAATTTATTCCTAGGTATTTTATTCTTTTATATGCTATTATAAATGGAATTGTTTCCTTAATTTCCTTTTCAACTTGCTTATTGCTGATACATAGAAACCTGACTGATTTTATATTCTGCCACTGTGCTGAATTCATATATTAACTTTAATAGCTTTCTTGTGAAATATTTGATTTTTTTTTTTTTTTTTTTTGTATACATGGGATAATGTCATCTGTGAAAAAAGATAGTTTTACTTCCTTCTTCTTGATTTAGATACTTTTTTGTTTCTTTTTCTTGCCTGATCTTGCTAGGACTTCTAGTACAGTGCTGAATAGCAGTTTTGAGAATGCTTATCTTTGTCTTGTTCTTGATCACCAATCATATTTTTAAGTTACATGTTTGGTTTTGAAACAAAGGTAGATGAAAATGTAGTTTGCTACTTAATGATGGTACAGTGTCAGAAACAGACCAAAACGACATGGAAATTCTTGCTCCTTGCATTTGAAGAAAATGGATTTAATTTTGTGGGTTTTGTGTTGGCTAATGGAAAAAATATGAAGGTTTCAGGTTACTGTCTGTAAGCATTTTTCTGCAAGTAATTTATTTGAAGTATGGATGATGGTCTTGAAGTCAGAAGCCATATTTGATAAGTTGTTATATTTTTGCTTTAAAATGCTGGCTTTTGAAATATGTATATTCTTCTCAATGTTTTGATTAGATAAATGTAGTTTTTGTTGTTATATTTTTGCTTTATAATGTTGGCTTTTGAAATAACTATATTCTCAATGTTTTGATTAGATAAATGCAATTTTTAGATCTACATGACAGGAATTTTCAGGAGTATCATTTCAAATGTGTCAAAATGTGATTTATGGCTTTACCAGTGGCTTATAATGGATGGAAACTACACAAAAGATGACTGAATTTCAAATTTCATAGTAATTAAAACCACCGCCACATGGTTGCACAACATGGTGAATGTAATTACGGCACCAAATTACTTTCTTATATACTTAAGAATGGTTCAGTAGTAAATTTTTAAGAATATATTTTACTGAAATTAGAAACAAAAAATAAAAAGCAGAACACCACCATAGCCTTAGATTGATTGTATGACTGTGCCTGGAGAGAGAGCATCTCTACGCAGTTACACTGTTTACTCTTATTTTTAACCCTCAAAAATCACCACTACCTCTAATCATTCATATTCCGTGGAATACATGGTCCAAACCCCAGAGGTTGACAAACTCAGAATGGGAGTCATACGGATTGGGATTTGAATTCTGTGTGACTTCTGGCAAGTCATATTCAACCTCTCTAAACTTGATAATACTATACCAGTTAATGTGTGGTAGCTGTATTGTTATTGCTGTATTTTAAAATAATCACTTGTTTACTACTTGTTTGCTTTTCCTCTGGACTGTTAACTTCTTGAGTTCGTGATTTTTTCATATTTGTAGCTCCAATGCTTAGCCTAGAGTCTAATACACAAGTATAGCACAACAGAAAGTGTGGCAAAGGCTAATGAAAACTAGCTAAATTTAACAGTCTAATTTTTAACAAAAGTCGGGTCTGTTCATGTTGAGCCCATTTGAGAAGCACTGTAGGAATGTTTTCTCTGCTGCTCAGCCTAGTGGACCTATCTAGCATAGCTGAAGGTTAAACAGGGGATTAAGACTGAGGCTCAGGAGAGAAGGGGGGGCATTTAGCTTGCCCTCAATTCCCCCCATCAAGTTTGGTCATTTCCCCTTTTCCCTTTGAGTTGCCTTTCCAGAATCCTCTCTGCTGGGTATGTTTTCTTTTTTGTATGAACTCTGGTAGTGTAGTGGGCTAAGTGTTAGACTACTAACCAAAAGGTCAGAGGTTCAAAATCACCAGCTGCTTTGTGGGAGAAAGATGAGACTGATTGCTCTTGTAGAGATTTACAGTTATGGATATCCTAGGGAACAGTTTTACTTGCTATAAGTCAGAATCAACTTGATGGCTGTGGGTTTAGTTTTGGATGGATATTTTATGTTCTATTCAGTTCAACCAACAATGAATCATAACTATATGAGGGGATTTCAAAAATTTCATGGGAAAATGAAATTTTGAAAAATGAAAAATTTCCACCAACTTTTTTGAAGCCCCCTCTTATTTCTTTCATTATTTCCATTATTTTTCTGGTGTACCAGGGTTTTTCCACCTATGCAGAATATTTTTTGCCTGAGTATCAATCTCATTTTTAGAAAATCTTCAGAATTGTATTTATTGAATCTTACTTCTACTTGTCTAGGTGACATTTCCCAGTGTTATGCGAATCATATTAAAGATGTTTATAAAAAGGACTTTTGAAAACTAACATTTTATGTGAATAAACGCTATTATTTGTGTTGTCTTCTCTGCCTCTTTTAGTGGACGATGCTGGAAAAATAGAACACGATGGCTCCTCTGGAATGACAATGGACACGGAGTCAGAAATTGATCCTTGTAAAGTGGATGGCACTTGCCCTGAAGTCATCAAGGTCTACATTTTCAAAGCTGACCCTGGGGAGGATGACTTAGGTAAGAGAAAACCTATTTACATCCTGATCCAGATTTTTCAACCTGATTATACTTTTAAGTTACTTTGAGAACATTAGAAATCTTTTCTGAAGATAATTTTTTAAAAAAGAATTTCAATGTAGTTACATAAAAATATGTCTAAAGTAATAAATGAAACAGGAAATGAAGTTTTCAAATAAATTTTCAGAGCTCTTACCTTCTCTGCTAGGTGGAACAGTAGACATTGTGGAGAGTGAACCTGAGAATGATCATGGAGTTGAGCTACTTGATCAGAACAGCAGTATTCGTGTTCCAAGGGAAAAGATGGTTTATATGACTGTCAATGACTCTCAACAAGAAGATGAAGATTTAAGTAAGTAGGTGGCCTTTTTGTGGGAGAAAAAAAATTATGTTTTTCTAAGCTCTTAAAAAAAGGCAGTTAGTATTTGATGGAAATAAGTAGCATTATTGTAGAGATTTTGAATCTGCCATATTCCAAGGGAATACCTCAGTGACTCTTTATGTATACTTAGAGTGTTAATTTGAGTCAAAGAGACATGGATCATGTTTGGTATAGTGGAGAGTCAGAGAAAAAGAGGAAGACCCCCAATGAGATGGCTTGGCACAGTGGCAGCAGTGATGGGCACAAATGTAGTGATGATTGTGAGGTTGATGCAGGACCGGGGAGTGTTTCATTTTGTTGTGCATAGGGTTGCTATTGAATCAGTACTGACTAGATGGCACCTTACTGCAACAACAACAGAGTGTTGCTTTAAAAACAAATTGTGGTGAAAGTCAATAAATTAATGATTAATTCAATAAGTATTTGAGTGCTTGCTCTGTGAACGCAATCTTCTAGATATATGACATTTGAAACCTTCTTTCTATTGGTCTGTTAACTGAATTCAAATCAAAAGATCGTTCTCATGATCTATAAGCCATGTCACAAAGTACTTTATAACATTCTACGTAGATGTTGCCGAAATCGCTGATGAAGTCTATATGGAAGTGATTGTAGGAGAGGAGGATGCTGCTGCTGCTGCTGCTGCTGCAGCTGCTGCACACGAACCCCCGATAGATGACAGTGAAATCAAAACCTTCATGCCAATAGCATGGGCAGCCGCTTATGGTAAGTCCCACAGCAACTCTCAGGCTTACATGGCTTGGTTCACAACATGCCTTCATGGTTTTAAAATCATTTCTGTGGTCTTAGGTTTCAGAAATCTGAAATGCCGGTAGTACCATGTAAGGTTTTTATTTAAACAAGAGTAGAGGAAGATTATAAAGTCTACTTTTGGTCTTTATTGTTAACAGGCATTTCCTTCATGTGTATATTACAAAGAAGTAAGTATTGAAAGAAGTACACAGGCTTTTAAGCGGAAACTTTTCATCTTGATTATATGTGGCCTATGACTTTACCAAAAAGGGAGTCCATAGGGCAAAATACTGATAATGTAATTTTTACATTTGGAAGCTAGGCATTTCCTGCAATCATGCTTTAAATGTGCTCATAAAACCCATGACCTAGAATGGGGAATTTCTGTCATTCATGAGTATCATGACTTATCTTTCATTGTTGTAGTTAATAAAGACTCCCTAATTCTTTATCATTTATAATATGGTATAATTTTGTTTTCTAATGGCATTGTTAGGTAATAATTCTGATGGAATTGAAAACCGGAATGGCACTGCAAGTGCCCTCTTGCACATAGATGAGTCTGCTGGGCTCGGCAGACTGGCTAAACAAAAACCAAAGAAAAGGAGAAGACCTGATTCCAGGCAGTACCAAACAGGTGAGGGCACACGAGTCCCACAGCGCAGCGTTCTCGGCCAGCCCCCAGATTGAACTCTAGTATTTATCCACAGAGGTGTTGTGATGGCATTTTAGCTGCTAAACCTCAGGTAGTTTTGTGTATTGAATTTGAAAATCTAATTTTAAGAATTTAGTGATATTCATGAATGATTACCTTGGATTAGAAGAAACAGGAGCTGGATCAACCATGGATGAAAATATTTTTTCAACTCAAGTAATTATAAGTGGAAATGAAAAGAAAACCCTTATTATGTTACAAGAGTTAACTTTTTTTTTTTTTTTTAAGCCTAAATGAATATATTTAAAGAATCTAAGGAGCTCTGGTAGCTTAGTGTATTGTGACTGCTAACTGCAAGGTCTGAATTTGAATCTGCAGTTCGCTCTGTGGAAGAAAGATGAGGCTTTGTACTCCCATAAAGATTTACAGCCTCAGAAACCCTCTACGGGATTGCTATGAGTCAGAACCAACTCTACGACACATCACCACCACCACCACCACCAAAGCAGGCATAATTTACAGAGCAGCTGGACAAGTACTTTGGTTCGGATACCACAGTCTGCTCTATTCTTACAATTGATTTGCATACTAAAATTATATAGGTATAGGAGGGAGCTTCAAAAACTTTGTAGAAAAATGGAATGAAAAGATAAGGCATTTTTCCTATGAATTTTTTGAAGCCCTCATATTTAGACATTGCTGTAACTTAATGTGAATTATGATTTTTGCAATAGCCAAAGCAACAATTTAATAGCCAAGTATTATTTTTTATCTACAGATTGTTAAGTTGATAAAGCGTCAATTACTAGTTGCTAGAGAAGGAGCTCTGGTAGCATAGTGGTTACGAATTGGGCTGCGAACCCTCAAGGTCAGCAGTTCGAAACTACCAGCTGCACTGTGGGAGAAAGATTTGGCTTTTTGCTCCCGTAGAGATTTACAGCCTCGAAACAGGGTTGCTATGAGTCGGAACCGACTCCACAGCACGTAACCACCACTACCACTAGGTGATAGAAGTTATGTATTAATCACTAATTTTTTTTTAACTAGAGGGAGAGAAAATGGTAGAGTAATACCGAATGAAATTTCCAGACCAGGTTCTTGTTTATGATTAGGTGGCTACATATCTTACGTTGAAAAAACGGTTAAAGGAATGTTAAGTAGCAAATAGCATAATTTAGGTTCAGAGCACACAGTTTAAATTCTTGATGTAAGCAGCAGAACTTTGACCTCTCATGCTCTTTTCTTTTCCTTTTATTAGCAATAATTATTGGCCCTGATGGACATCCCTTGACCGTCTATCCCTGCATGATTTGTGGGAAGAAGTTTAAGTCGAGAGGCTTCTTGAAGAGGCACATGAAAAACCACCCTGAACACCTGACCAAGAAGAAGTACCGCTGCACTGACTGTGATTACACGACCAACAAAAAGATAAGTTTACACAACCACCTGGAGAGCCACAAGCTGACCAGCAAGGCTGAGAAGGCCATTGAATGCGATGAGTGTGGGAAGCATTTCTCTCACACGGGGGCTTTGTTTACTCACAAAATGGTGCATAAGGAGAAAGGAGCCAACAAAATGCACAAGTGTAAATTCTGTGAATACGAGACAGCTGAGCAAGGGTTATTAAATCGCCACCTTTTGGCAGTCCACAGCAAGAACTTTCCTCATATTTGTGTGGAGTGCGGTAAAGGTTTTCGCCACCCATCCGAGCTCAAAAAGCACATGCGAATCCATACTGGGGAGAAGCCCTACCAATGCCAGTACTGCGAATATAGGTCTGCAGACTCTTCTAACTTGAAAACTCACGTAAAAACTAAGCATAGTAAAGAGATGCCATTCAAGTGTGACATTTGTCTTCTGACTTTCTCAGATACCAAAGAGGTGCAACAACATGCTCTTATCCACCAAGAAAGCAAAACACACCAGTGTTTGCATTGTGACCACAAGAGTTCGAACTCAAGTGATTTGAAACGACACATAATTTCAGTTCACACTAAGGACTACCCTCACAAGTGTGACATGTGTGATAAGGGCTTTCACAGGCCTTCAGAACTCAAGAAGCATGTGGCTGCCCACAAGGGTAAAAAAATGCACCAGTGTAGACATTGTGACTTTAAGATTGCAGATCCATTTGTTCTGAGTCGCCATATTCTCTCAGTCCACACAAAGGACCTTCCATTTAGGTGTAAGAGATGTAGAAAGGGATTTCGGCAACAGAATGAGCTTAAAAAGCATATGAAGACGCACAGTGGCAGGAAGGTATATCAATGTGAGTACTGTGAATATAGCACTACAGATGCCTCAGGCTTTAAACGGCACGTTATTTCTATTCATACAAAAGACTATCCTCACCGATGTGAGTACTGCAAGAAAGGGTTCCGAAGACCTTCTGAAAAGAACCAGCACATAATGCGACACCATAAAGAAGTTGGCCTGCCCTAACAATACTTCTACGGACTGTTGTAGAGATATTGGCCTTGAAGCAGAAATTCATTTTAAAGCCAATTACTCTCATCCACATATAATACTGTATATTGATTTATGCTGTGTACAAATAGAATTCTTGCTTCTAGTTACTTTTTTTTTTTTTTTTACTGTTTGTTCAATAGAGTGTTCTGAATTCTATCCAGTTTGTTTAATAAATGGGGAAAAGCAGCAACAAGCAAGTTGCTTTTCGTAAAGTAATCTCGGATTCTATACCGAATTTTTCTATCTTAGAAATTTTGTATTTATTTGAATATTTACCTTGCTTACCTTGATGGTACTCTTCTAAGACCATTTAACTTAAAGTTAAGGTAACTTTAGATCAGTAACTTTGCAAGTATTTCATGTTGACTCTTTTTTTTCCACAAATTCCTCACAATAAAACCGTCAGAGACATTTACTAATATAATGGGAGATGTTTATGGTCAGGTCTAATGATCATATTACATGGAGGTCATTTACTTGTCTTGCTTAATATTTTCAAACCACATGACAATGAAAGTTTCTACTTGAGCTTTTGTGTCCCTAGCATCACTGAGGAAAGAACTGACTGGGTTCGTGTTTAGTTTTCATTCGTTTAGCAGACAAAATAAATATACTTCCTTTGGCTTTCTTTGGAGTATTCACATCTTTTGTCAGCGTAGCAAATGTTTAGAAAACCTGACTGATACGTTTTGCTCGATCCTGTTTATTATTCTGTCTGTGCTGCTTTGTCTTGGAATGGTTGTGTACTACCGATGAGACTTACTGAGGACTGAAGTTTGGAATCTCCTAGTGGTGATTCGTTGCTCATAGGAGCTTTTGCAACTTTATATATGTAAATGTACCCTGAATTATATATACATACACATATATATAACATGTATCTGTGTGTATTGCTTATTTTACATATTTATACACACAACCCCAAGTAGTAGTTGTTTAAAATCTATAATGAAAAGTATTAAATTTACAATAACGTGAAAGATCCAGGGATGCATGAGAGAGCATTGTGTAAATTATGCTCTTCAGAGAGACTACTCAGGTGAAGAATTAGAAGGAAAATAAGGACACTAGTATTTTTAAAGAGTATAAAGGTATTTTCCTTTAATTATCTTTGGTAATTGAAAAATAGAAGTTGATTCTAGATAGAATGTTTTCATACAATTTCAGCTTCATGCCTTTATATTTTTCTGAAAAGCTAATGAGTATCCAGAATCAGCCCTCTTGGTTCTCTCCAAAAAGCCCAGGAGAAAACTCAGTATCTCACAGGGGGCCTGAGAGGAAGCATCAGCTCCAGGTTACAGAGAATGGGTGCTAATGATGACTCACACTTTTAGCAAGTTCAGCCTACCTTGCTATTTCTTAGACAGAGTTAGTAGACTTTAAAAACCATAACATTCAAGTTGGCTTTGATTAGAAGATAAAGGTGTGTTTTAAGTGCATAACGAAAATCTGAGGCCTTATTTGGAATACCACCAAGTCTTTCAGTTTTGTTTTTCACTGAGTTGACATTTTTAAAAAAACAACAAAAAAAAAAAAACAACAAAAAAACAAAAAACAAAAAAACAAGTTGTCAGAGTCACCATCATAAATTTGTAAAATTTATTCAGTTACAATTAGGTTTTGTTAATATGGATAACAAACTTGATCATATTGCTATAAATTTGGAGAACAGAAAACACTGGTTAGGATCCCTTATTTTGGCTATTGGTACATATCTATCTGGCACATCAGGAAATCAGACATTTTCCTTCCCACTTCATTATGGTGCTCCACCCCTTCCAGGCTGTCGAGGTTTTACCTTTTGCCTTTCTCTTTGCCATTGACATTTGTATTTAAGAGTTATATCTATTGGGTTAGAAATCAAAATATTTAGTGTTTGGCAAGCCTCTGAAGTGCTAGATTAATTCAGTGTCATTCTAAATCAAGTGCTTTGAGCTGGTATGAATCAATTCCAACCTAAATGCCAGTCAAAACCAAGGGATGGAATTTGGAATTCCTGTGCTCTCTTCGTAGAGGAATGCTGCCTGGGTGATGATGCGCGTGATTAACGAGGCTAACGCGCTCCACTGCTCTCCCCCAGAGGCTTCGGAAGAAAGGCCTGGTGATCTGCTTCCGAAAATCAGCTATTGAAAACCCTATGGAGCATATGTGGAATCACCAAGAATCAAAGTTCATATGACAGCAACTGGTTAGCTATTCCCTCTTAGCCCCCATAACATTCTGTTTGTTTTTCAATAATTTTATAATTATGTAATTCATTGCTCTTCAGCACTATTCTTACAAACTTTTTTTGCATGTGAAAACCTTTAAAATCTCCCTTAATTTTATTATTCCCTGAAATATTGTAAAAGAAACCATGTAAGTGAAAGTGAAAATGTAGAAATTTTAAAACATCTTTTAAAATTAATACAGAAAATATAAAGAATTGGTCAATTAACTATATTTTTTTAAATAAACGGAAAAGATAAAGAACACAACCCTTTGCACACTTTATATTTCTCTCACATAGTCTGGAATCATACCCAGTTCTTTTCTTTTTAAAGCACAATATTGAAACCTTTAAAAGGTATTTAAGGGTTTGGTCAAGTGAAAATGATAAAATGTGTTTGTCTGTATAAAGAGAAAATGAAATTGTAGTCACTGTTATGTACTGACACATTAGTTACAACCTAGTTTTAATTCTTAAAACAATTTTGATTAGCAAAGCTAAAAAATGGATGTTTCAGTTAAATGTTTTAAAGAGGTACAGATTTTTACAAGGACATAATATAAGTTATTGTTCTGTAGAAATATCCTATTAAATATTGTATGTCCCTCCCTCTGTACACTTTGTAAAAAAAAGTAAAATACCTAAAAAGAAAATCATATAGGGATGTGTGACATTTATTGTAATTGTGTACTTGAGAATAACGTGCAAAAATAAAAATCAGAATATTTTCCTGTTAATAAATGTTTAGTCTATTTGATACCAGTACTAAGTTAATGCTTTTTCTTAAAAATTAAAAAAAAAATGTACAGTTTTTGTAAACTTAATAAACATCAAAAGCAGTGGATTATTTTCATTTCCCCATTTCTTAATTCATTTTAAATAGTGGAATGCAAAATGCTTGATTGCTTTGAGTTTTGTGACTCGGATGCAGATGCTGGTAATATCCCAGTATTAAGAATTTGCAAGTAATATTTCAGCGATGTTACGAGGCAATTGGTGAGTCCTTTGATGAGCATGTCCTTGAATTTTTTTTTTTTTTTTTTAACTTCATAAAGGATTTGTTTATTAGCATCTCCAGTTCTGAGATAAATTACCCATGCATAGAGTGGGTTTTAAGAGCACTTAAAGTTCATTGTAGTGTAAATCCCCATCACATTTAATCAGTAGGAACTGGTAGCACCTCCACAACGGGCATCTTGCCCTAGCGGTTACTCCTGTGCCCAGTTTGAAGAGTTCCAGTAGATTCTAACATGCTAAAGACTGGGTCATTGTCATGGTGAAAATCAGAAGTTAAGTAAAAGTAACCAAGAGTCAAAAGAATAAGAATCCAGATCTGAGCCGTCTTTGATTTTAAAGTTAAGCCTCTGTAGTGCTCCAGCTATGTAGGAATAAATGTTTGCCAAATGGCTGAATTAATGAATAATCCAAAATTGAATTAAATGATTAAGAGAACAAGGTGGATACCACTGCACTCCCTGCTGTCAAAAAGTTAGCTTTTTAATAACATTTGACAACTAGCACCTAAGCAGTCCTGGGATCCCAACAGGTCAGATAATACACTGTACTGTTCTCTAGCGATCTCAGGAGGAGAACACTTCTTTATTTCCCACAAATTCTACAATTCATGTAAGAAAAAGCATCCAAATCTTAAAGGTGTGGTATTTCAGAACAGTGGCTTTCAAAAAGTGTGACCCAGGACCACAACAGCATCAGCATCACCTGGGAACTTGATAGAAATGCAGGATCTCCAGTCTCACCCAGACCAGAATCCGAAACTGGGAAAGAGCCCAGTAATCTGTGTTTCAACTTGTTCTCCAAGGGATTTTGATGCACTCTCATGTTTGGGGAACACTGTCTTAGAGCACTTGAGGAACTTAAAGATTACTGGTGTAGCATTTTGTGTGGTAGATGAGAAACGTCACAAAAACAAAACAATCTGAAATAAGCAGTAAAGGGAAAATTGGGCCCAGATAGTTTATACCTTTGGATTGTCCTTTTTGATATGTGAACCTGTAAATCTTGTAGGGCCTTCCATAAACTACCTTCTTAAGAGGAAAATCAGAGCAAGAGTCAGCAAGTAAGAGAAGGGCTGAAAGGTTGTGCGTGAATGTCTTTTTTTGTTGTTGTTGTTTTAATTAATTGTCCCAGGTTACTGTTTGAAAATAAAACATTTTACCGTCTTCTGGAAATAGGGTTAAAATGATATTTTCCTCTATGGATTTTGTTTTTCTTTTGTTCCATTGTGTATATATTGTTTGCCCTTCTTTTCATAAAATAATTCTTGGATTTGTTATATATTGTTCTGTTGTCTTTGACACCTTTGCTAATGTAAATAAATTACTATTTTGTTTTAAGTTACCCTAGTAGAGTGTTGGTTGTAGGCAAGGCATACACACACACACACACACACACACAAAATGGAGCTTACATTGCACAATGAGTAAAGCCACAACACCTGAGAAGCTGGAAGTGATGCCACCTCGACTCATTCAGCACTTCTAGTACCAATGAAAGTATTATGGTATATAGGTATAACATCTGTACCAACTCAGATTTTAAATTTATTTTCATGATCTCCAAGATGGAAATACTTTGTACAGTATTAAAGTGAGGTCAGAATCAAGTGCCGGTTTCCTTTTTTGGTTTATCCTATCCACTTGGTCTCTTGTGTTACTCGTATTGCTGGTAATAGACACAAAGAATTTGACATCATAGTTGCCTGCTGATCATTGAAAAGCCAGAAAACCTACATAGGAATTCTAGATGGCATTTAGCTATGTGCATTACCACAGAAACTTATAAATATGTTGGCTAAAATAGAAGAATTAATTAAGCCTATATTGTTTTGCTTTCCCAAAGAATTGTTTTGCTTTCCCAAAGAAATAAGTTTCTGTTTTTCCTTCATGTTTGTGTTTGACTTTAAATGCAGAATCCATTTCCTTCTGCCTGAGATGATTTGAAATAGTGGGGGTATTGCATAGCCAGCCATCTGTTGGGGTTTGGCAGGTGGCTACTCATACTCGTTTACCCCTGTGGATTCTAAACCACATTAAAAATAGATAAAAGAGACCACCAATTGAGGGTGTGACTTAATCTAGCAAGACCGGATAGGAAGCCCTGGAAACCAAAATGTCTCTTACTTTTTTGTTGTTGATGCTATTTTTGCTGTTTTTTCCCGACCTGTTGTCGAGTCAGTTCTGACCCCCAGTGACCCTGTATAGTGTCCAAGGAGAGGCCGGTGAGCTTGAACCGCTGACATTGCAGTTCAAACCAACCCACAGTGCCACACCAGGACTCCTCTCCCAACCTAGAGGGTTGATTACTTCCGAGTGAGTTGGAGAGACTGATTAGCCCCCTTCCAGAGACATGGAGCAAGTGATAGAGAATGGCTGTGGGGTCCTCGCCAGAGGAGCAGAGTTCCTCTATGCTGTCCTAACAAAATAAGGGCTGACCAATTCTGGAGTCCTGGTGTGGCATGGCACTAGACTGCTAACTCCAAGGTTGGTGGCTCAAACCCACTAGCCCTTCCTCAGAAATCCTGTACAGGGTTGCTGTGATACGGAACTGACTCGATGGTACCTAACAAGTTCAATTTCGGGCTGCCTTCCGGTAATAGCACACCAACAAAATGTGAGGATTTCCCCTTCATTTTTTGCATG